AAATGCAGAAATCATCCGGTCAACACACAGTTTTTGTGTTAAACCACTTCGAAAGTCATAATAAATCGTCGCTCTTGAATTTTCTCGAGTCAATTCCATTTTCTCAACGACTAAACAAGTTTGACAAAACCTTGTGACAAGACCGAGAATCTTTTTTTAAATAAATAAATGGTATTCGATTTTTAAAACCAAGGAGTTTTCAATTAAAAAGATTTTAATATGACAGGAACAGTGGAAATATTCCATTCTCGATACTTTTAATGCAGCCTATGTAAGTTGACAAAGTTTTAACGTAATCTGATAAACGGTATGGCAGCGTATAAAATTCGAACAAACAAACATTATTTTTTATATATTAAATGTCATATAAAAGTTATGATAAATAAAAGGATAAAACTTTTCCCAAAAATTTATGGTGTATCATCAAAATCGTAAATATGGCTCTATAGCAGTTGCTTAAATTATAGGATCTATAGGAGAGTACTACATTCTCGGAATTGCTAGGTGCTTGGCGCCCGTTCAGATCTCAACTCTTTTATCGGCGAAGCTGACAACCCCGAAAATCTGCTTTAAGCGCTTATTACATTATCCAATTTTTAGAAAATCTAATTAGGAAGTTGGAAAGTGTAATCATAGTTAGAACAGTTAGGATCCGATTTAGTTAAAGTTGGAGGTCCCGACCGCTCTACTTTCTAAATTGTTTACAATTTAGGACAGTGTAATCGCAACGTTACGATTTAGAACGACCAGTCGGCGCCCGCGCTTCGACCTAAGTGGTGGATGTATTGACTGCGCGTGCGACATTTGTTTGCGATGGCGAGTGAAGCGACAGAATTGAGCAGTGGTTCGTGTGGCAGCATGTCCACAGAAAAAGAGGTGTTATTACAAATTATAGACCCGTATAGGGTAAATGCCCTATTTGTATAATAAAAATGATGAAAACTATTTAAAAAAAGCAATGCGTGAAGAGGGCTTCAAGGTGTTGTTAAATACAGACAAGTATTCCTTAACCCAGCATATTCTCTTTTTTCTTTTTTTAATATCCATTGTTCTCACCACGGCTAAGGCAAGTCCTATTTTCTGCTGTTTTGATAAATACGGCGCCATCGATCAAACGTGCAACCCCGTCGATACTTCTTTAACGAATGTGCTTCGTCACGATTTAGAATTTAATTTAGTGTAATGTGATCACTAGCTTCCAACTTAGGTTCCTAATTAGATTTTCTAAAAATTGGATAATGTAATAAGCGCTTAATGTAATAAGCGCTTTACCGTACTTGGCCCCCTATTCGCATTTATTTTTGATGGGATTAATAGCTTGCCGTACTATGGTGTGTGCTTGCAGTTGGTGTATGAGAATTCATTATTCTGTCTTTAACTATAATTGTAAAAGTCAATTACAGTAATGTAAACATTGGCTTAACTAGGTTGTTAATAAAGTTTTCGATGACAAGCCACAAGCCGTTTTGAACCACTATTATGGCTTCAGCATAATTTGGTTGCTTCAAATGTATACTAACCACATTCACACACTACTGTAAAATAGCGGTGTATAACGCTTCTGTGTTTTATCATTCAACATTCCATGTTAGTCCTCAGAGGTGTTAAAGCATTTGTATATTGATCGTTAATTAAGAATTGATGTAGGTATCAATGGTAATATAATCAACATCAATTTTTATCAACTGGTATGTGTATTTGTTACTCACCATTATTCGTATAGAAAAAACTAGAGGCATCACTCCTACTGAAAGGCTTAACACTAGACTAGACTTTGGGATTTTGGTTAATAGATGAACATTCTATTAAGGGCTAAAAGATGTTTATAGCATTTTTCTTAATCAACTTTCAAGGTTATTATTATTATACAAAAAATCTATTTATCACAGGTGTATATTTGTACTTTGGAAGTTGACTTACAAACCTGTTACAAGAGGAATATTCACAATCGCACGCTAGAGGATATCGAAATTATAAGCGCTAGATTTTTCGCTACGCCCGCTCACCACATACAATTGGATCCAACAACTTTACTACAGAGTGCCGCCATTACGGAAGTGCAAATGGAAGATGTGGACAATGGGGTGTCTATGGAGGATCCAGCAGAAAGTGAGGTGAGGCATTAATAACAATTAAGAAGACTTTCAGGCGCACAACATTTTTGTTGGAGCAATTCTCTGGATCCACTATTTATTATGTAACAAATCATATTTGAATGTAAGCCTCTTTATAAAATGTGTGTACAATTTTAAACTTCTTTATGTTATTTTCATTTTGGATATTTGTAAATATTTATAATATTGATTATATTGTGCTTTAGATGCTATAGTAAGGATAGGGTAACAGATTTAATTTCAGCATTGTAACTAAAATGGCCGAGTACTGTTCCAAACACAGGTCGAAAATCATTTTACTTCGAAATGGGAGAAAATGGACGACGCCGCACAACTAGGTAGGTTTCTGATTGGAATTTATATTGATGGTTATTTTTATCGAAATTTACACACGAATATATTAACGACGTTATTCAACTAATATTGTCAAAGAAAAAATAGCTTAGTTAACTATAATCTATGATTTCTTTAGCAGTACTCTTTCTTTCACAATATTTTTTTTATAGTTTGACAGTTTTATATAGATGTATAATGTATTAAGTATTAGTACTTCGAAAGAGTTCGTGTGTAAATATTGAAATGTATAATTAAATAAATTAACTAACCATAATACTATGGTATTTTTATTTTTGTTTATCAGCGCATTCTGTATGACAATAGATTATTAATTTTCTCGTTATATTGTTACAGCGCGACTCGACGGCACCAGTAAGCCGCTGCGACCATCGCAACTCTCCATGGAAGACTACCTACAAATAGACGACTGGAAGCCTAATGTATCTAAGCCTGGAAAGAAAACTGTAAGTATGTCGTATTTTAACATTATTATTATTATTAATATTTTTGTTGTGATATGGTTGTGGAAATATATCAAGTTTTCCTATTTTCATAAATTTTATGTAATTTAGTACATAAATGACATAAGCTTTGCATATACATAATTATATTAAATGATTTTTGTGTATGTGGTGTTGTACAGTTGTACTCTTCATTGACCTAAATCGAATATAGAATATTATGAAATGTTGTGGTTACAATAACCATCCGTTACTATGTGACTTATGCTGAAAAGTTTAATCTTTAGGTAAGGTTCTTTTTTTAATACAGTCTAACAATCATGTCTGAACATATGATACCTAATTATATACAATACTAGCTGACCAGGCAGACGTTGTTCTGCCCTTTCCGACGACCATGTTTCCTAAAAACTCATTAAATTCACAATAAAAAAAATTGAGGGTCACTTATCGGGATAAAAACTATCCTATCTCTCAAGTTGTATCAAACTGCACACATTGTGAAACATTTCATTGAAATCAGTTCACTAGTTTAGGAGTTCATCGCGGACAATGTGACACGTATTTTTTATATATAAAGATTAAAACCAGTTTTGTCAAATTTGACATCTTTTTTATTCTTAAAAATTCTACGTAAATTATGAGCAAAATACTGATTAAACAGTTGAGCTGTGTATTCAAAATATCATGGAATATGTTATTACGTTCCGAACTTATACGTTTCGTATCTGTGCAAATCACATTTCACGTAATTGAAATAAAAAGGTGAGTCTGCATTCCAAAAGTGTCGATGCGTATGTTTTCATTGTGTTGTACTTAAAACAGGTGCGTTGGGCGGATATAGAAGAGAGAAGGCAGCAAGAGAAGATCCGGGCAATTGGATTTGTTGTAGGTCAGACCGATTGGAATCGTATGACAGATCCGACTATGGGATCCAGTGCACTCACACAGACTAAGTACATCGAGCGAGTGAGACGCATGTAGTTTACGTTTAATGTTGTACTATATACTATATAGACTATATTACCTGGTCGAGAATTGACACATCGAGCCATAGGAAGAGATTATCGGCTATGATTGGCAAGCTTCGGGTTCATATAGCGTTGTTTTATTTGTTACTCCTGCTTTCATGACGAATTTCCGCTGACTTGTTACGCGTATAAGTTTCAAGTATAAGCATCCACATCAATGTATGTATGTAAGTGTTTGTTAAACATATACTTGAAGTATTTTTTATTCAATTCAATTACAAATGACGTGATTGTTTTTAAATACATATAAATAGTAGTTAGTAGTTTCTACGACGGATAACGACACTACAAAGCCGATAAACTATTTCTAATGCTCTACGTGTTACATTCCCGGACGGTTCTTATATAATTGTGTGTGTTGTCTTAAATATTTGTAAGATTGTGGTGGTGTTTAAGTAATATTTTTTTAAATTTAAAAAGCCAACGTTTTAATGTTTTTACATAGTGATGCAATTCAAAGTCGTTACGCATTGGTGCCCGTAAAGGTTTAAATTATAATTCTGACTTACTTAACATCCTGATTCTCTTAATGGTGTTTGTGAGAAGCACTTTTACCCTAAAATATTTTAAATGCCTGTTTATTAAATTAAACGAAATTAATTTCACTCCTCGCCTTATTACTAGCAGTTTTTTACAATGATGGTCCCATTTAGTAAAGTAACGGAAAATGTTATTTTACAGTTTTTAATATTGTTCTGTATTGATATTTTATCGATACGATAACGCTAGCTGCTAAATCCGGACACAACCTGTTGCATGAATAGCATCTACTTGATTATTATTGTGACTCATCTATTTTGCATTTCATTTCTTAGTAACATAATAAATGTATTCTTGAAATATCTGGTTATAAAACTGTTATGTGAATGATCGATGCAAGATTGAGATAAAGTCTGTACTCAAGAATCTAGAGTCAGGAGTGTGTGCGTACGGAGTGTATGAAAAATAAAAAATCCAAATATATCTGTCTTTTAATACCTCTACTACAACTTTAAGAAAATATGTCTCAAATTCATTACGAGTTTAATTTTATGCTTTCCGAAAATAAAAATAAAATACTAATTTTCGTATTCGTCGTAAAATCCAGCATATTTAAAAGTTTGATTTGCATTATTTTTGACAATTTTGTGTTCTTGCGCGCTATTTTGAGGTTTGTGTTCGGCCGTTTTTATTTTTAACAAAGTTTTTTGCGAAGCATCGTCGGAATTTAATCGACTTTCGAATTCATTTTCTTCGACGGATACTTGTTCCCCTTCTTTTAAACTTAACAAACTTTCCCTTTGGAAATTATTTTTGTCTGTGTGCAAAGTACCTGTTTTGTCAAATTTATTTGTAAATGACTTTTTTGCAAAGTTATCTTCAGTTTCTTTTACTGACGACATTATCGTAACTTGAGGTGTATTCATGGCTGTCATGTGATCCTTCAGACATTGTTGTAGTATGTTCAGAAAGAATAAAAAAGCCAACAGCGTCAGAGCCGACATTGCAGCGTTGTTTTTATGGCTTCCACTCACATAATTGCTGTAACAAAACATACAATTGCACTTATTACATTGCTAAAACCAACGAGAAAATCTAGCTAAGATAGAGAAAAAATATACTTTGTGTTATTATATATTATTCAAATAAAATTAGACAGTACATGTTATGTTATATCGCCCAAAGCGCAATGTCTCTCGTGCAGTTTCGCAGCGTTTCTGCTGCGGCAAGCGCGATGGACTCGTATGTTTAGATGATTACTGGATGTGTTGAATATTTAGACATAAAATAAACCTCTCGATGGGGCTTCGTTCATGTCTTAAATATATATTATTACAATTTTTATGAAAATTAATTGGAAGTACTAATTCTTTTTCTAAAAAGATGATTAAATACTGCGGCACTTGTTATATTCAATAATACTGAAATAATCTAATGAAAAGAAGTGTTTTGTACTGCGATTACACTTATTTCGCATCCAATTTGCTGGCAGCAGGGTTTTATTTGACTCTAAAATACACGTATGCTAAGAATTAGAGACGAAACTGATACATATATCAGATAAGAATCTTTGCTTTACCGATAAACGAGCGAATTATAATGAAAAATTAAACTTTTATAAGAACCTAAAAGAAGAACGGTATTGAAATTTTGAACCGAATTTCAAACTTTGGTTGTGGGTCCTGGCATTAATTAAGAATATTCAAAGCCAAATCCCAGTACTCTGTACCAGAGTACGAAACCTATCCAACTACAGAGAGGTATAAGACAGGGTAACGTAATATCCCCGAAACTCTTCATCGCTACATTGGAAGACGAATAAGCTACTGGATAAGGTATTAACCTCAATGGCGAGGAAATCACTCACCTTCGATTTGCCGACGATATAGTCCTTATAGCAGGAGGACCTAAGCACTATGCTCAATGACCTCAATAATATCTCGCAACGGATAAGTTTTAAGATGAACATGGACAAAGCAAAAGTCATGTGTAACGTCCATGTCACACCTATGCCGGTAGTTGTTGGGAGCACTAAGCTCGAAAGTTGGTGACGAGTATGTTTACCTGGGACTAATATTCCGACTAGGTGAATCCAACTTCGACCGAGAGGTCAATCGACGGATTCAACTCGGCTGAGCAGCGTTCGGGAGATTACGACACATCTTCTCGTCAGGCATACCTCAAAACCTCAAAACAAGATTGTATAACCAATGCGTATTGTCAGTGATGACATATGGACCTGAGACGTGGTCCTTCACTGCTGGCCGGATGAGGAAGCTCAAGGTCGCTCAGCGAGCTATGGAGAGGGCTATGCTCGGAGTTTCTCTGCGTGATAAACTTAGGAATGAGGATATCCGCAGTAGAACCAGAGTGACCGACGTAGCCCAACGGATTAGTAAGCTGAAGTAGCAATGGGCCTGCCATATAGCTCGATGAACCGAAAACCGATGTGGAAGAAAGGTTCTCGAGTGGCAGCGTCGTACCGGCAGGCGAAGTGTAGGGCGTCTCTCCACTAGATAGAGTGACGACGTGGTAAAACATACAGAACGTCAATGGATGCAGGTGGCTTGGGAGGCCTATGTTCAGCTGTGGACTTGTCAAGGGTAATGATGATGATTCAAAGCCAAAACATCTGTGACCTACTTCTGAACGTCATTCTTGTTCTGAAAGTATCGTAAGCCCCTTATAATTCTAATATAACGTCAATTCTTATATAATAAACTGTGTCTAAAATTGTTTATGCAATTTTTTTTTCACCAGTACCTGTTGAAACTTCTTATTCTGGTTTTCCGAACCTAATTCAGTCATGGTGTCTAAGTGAACTAAGAGGTACGTGAACACTTAAACGAGACTATAATTAAATGATAATGTCATCATGGCCCAGCTACAGCGGCAAGTTTCGATATTGTTGAAAGCTGTCATCTGCACTGAAGTTATTATAATATTATAAATGTTCCCACCATGACATATGCTTGTTCTAACCTACATGATGCGCCCAAAGTAAAGCTCATGCGATAAGATCAATCTGAATGGTATTGAATAGAGAGGCATTACAATTACAATCTATGAGGAATTAACTCCTAATCCTCGGTGATAATAACGCATACGTGTATTGATTTTATTGGCTGTTGATCACTTGCTTAATTTTATGCATTGCATTACTTACTGTTTTGTTGGAACGGCATGCCCATGCAGAGGCGAAGAAGGCTCATAACCATAAAATATATGTTGGTCATGCATCGGCGGCCCGTACTCTGCATATCTAACAGGAAGTAATGAAAAAATAATAATTCATAAGTTATTATTATATTTCAGTTTTTTGTATGTATGAAAAAATCATTCTTGTCTTCAATCTATAAACGTATGACGGTTGGGTACAGGTCTACTCTCATTTCTATGATAGTAATTGAGCGATTAGTCCGCCGTCCTCGAAATATTGCATTTTCTCAGATATGCACGTTTTCTCACTATATGTTCTTTTACTGCCGAACAACGTGATTTACCGCGGGTATTTAATCGTGCCTAAAAATGCAAAAAAACAATTTCATCGGTCATTTCGTATTGCAGAAAAATAAAATTTTCAAAAAGCTAGCCCAAAAAAAGTAGAGAACAGTCTCTACTGTCACAAATGTTAGGTTAAGCATTTTAAAATGAGTTCGTTAAATGACAACTGCTGGAAAACGATTGTCTCAAACCATTCAGATTTAAGACTATATTATGTCCAACAGTTGATTTGACAGTGGTAACTAATAGTACATTGGTGATAACGACAGTGACTTATTCTCGTGTCATCTTTAAGTCGTTCTTTTACAAATTTCTTTCACAACATAACATAAAGGAGGCAGAAGCCTAATGGTTAAGTAATAAGTATGCACATTGAAAACTCGAGAAGTCGACGGTTCGAACACAAGCATTTTAAGCTTACTTGAAGTTTGGAGTGGTTAATACATGTCAATAGAGTTACTAGTATTCCTTTGCAAAAAAATACACATACATTATTTTTTAAAAGTATTAATAATAGTTACCTGTCAGTGAGTTGTTTTGTATCCAAACCCATTCGGGATAAAATGTTCTCCAAAGCCATCTGGATTGTCACGTACGTCAAGTTGTGTGAAGGCCAGGGTTCAACTGGCTGAATAACACATCACCTATGGGTACTATTATTACGCTCTACATAATTTTGCTCCATATGATATGTCATGCGCATGAGCATAACGGTATTCTGTATACCTAAATAACTATACTTGCATCGTTTGTTTAAAAAAAAATTAAATGGTGCTGCTCGTATTCGTTTTATGGATGTCTTTTCTGTTAATCAGATCGGAAGATCGATTGATGGATAAATTTTCCGTCATTTAAGTTTGACCGACTTACTTCTTTTTATATTGTTACAGAGAGAAATTTTAAATATGTTCTTACAACGTAAATATAATAATTTTTAATAGTTATTTGTTTAAAATCTTCGATCTTATTTTAGTAACTATTTTATCCTTTTGCGAAATAATCAATAATTACGATTTATAATATTTATTGTTCCTTAGAAAAGTAAGCCAAAAGATTATGTGTATTAAAGAATTTTGTTAGACATGGTATCTCATTCTTCCCGAATTTGCAGAACTTGGAGAAAAAAACTTTTTCGGTAGCTTTGAAATTTAGTTATCAAATAACTTACGAGAAAGAAGGTTGAGGCGTCGGATATATTAAAATACATAAGTTATAGCTATAATAAGGCGACAAGGTATGAGATCCCAGGTCCACGTTTATCATACACACGGCTTATATTCACACTATGTGTTTGTTGTTTCTTTTTTGTATAGTACAAAACAGTTTTTATACGTGGTAGAGCCATGCTACAGCTATATTAATAGTATAGTTGTAGCACGAATGGGTCGGCTAGACAGGGGAAGGACCACGCTTTCACAAAATACCAGCGTAAAATAGCAGCTTAATGCTGCTGTTTCGTTTGGTGAGTGTAGAGAACCGGAGACCCTTTTTACACGAAAAGAGGCATTCCATCTTAGTCCTCACGGCTGACAACGCATCTGCATTTTATTCGCAAACGAGGGTAGATGTAGATGTTTATGGACCACAGTAACTACTTACCATCAAGTGGACTTTGTGTTCGCTTGTCAACCTTATCCTATAATAAAAAGTTTATCATTATCAATAATGAATTTTCAACCGACTTCAAAAAAATGCGGAGGTTTTCAATTCGACTGTATTTTTTAAGTGTGTTACCTCAGGACATTTTTCTAGGTGAACCGATTTTGATGTTTCTTTTTTATTTGAAAACTTCTCATGTGGTCCCATAAAAATTTGATAGAGATATGACCAGTAGTTTTTGAGTATCCTTAATAATTCATATTTAATTGACTTCGACTACATTGATGATGTTTTCATTTTATTTATATTGAAGTCGGTTGTACAAAATTTTTAATTTTACCACTTCTTACTTTTATAATAGTTAAGTGTAATAATTACAATGCTGATGAAAATGATGATGTATATATGTGTACACCGTGAAGATGTCTGATTGCATAGAACAGAAACACTATTTTTTTTTTACAGAAATTTCTTTTTCTTACGCATGGTGATGTACATTTTCCTGCCTTAAAATCGTTTCGCAAATGACAGGAGCCTTGTGTGCAGCAGTGGAGTAAATAAAGTAAAAAGCTACAGCCTATATTCGTTTCATTTCTGAATAAAAGCTGCCTCTATTTACTGAAAATTATTTTAAGCGGTTGATAGAGCAGTTTGTCCGCCGAGATGCTACAATGCATGTTGTTTTCGTAATGTTCTTTTTTCTCAATTGCACAGGTTTCCTTACGATGCTTACTGTCGATTTATGTTTTTAGGTGCTAAAAGAGCAAAGTATTTATATTGATTTCAATATAAGATTTAATTGTTGAATTATTGATTAAGTACAAAATTTATTTTTCCTTTTGTCTTTTTGGAACAAATATACATATGTTTTTTTTTTATAGAATTAGGGTGACAAACGAACACAGTCTACCTGATGGTAAGTTGGACCATGGACATCTACATTGATCCCCAATTAAGAATCAAAACTCTGAGGACTAAGATGGAATGCCTCGTTTCCAGTAAAAATGCAGACCCTTTTTGGTTCTTTACACTCACTATACGAAACGCAGCAGCATTAAGTTGCTATTTTACGCTGGTATTCTGTGAGAGCGTTGTCCCTGATATTCTGTGAGAGCGTTGTCCCTGGTATTCTGTGAGAGCGTTGTCTAAACCTAATCGGCATGACTTTTTTATTTCTGTTTACCTGTTTGATGGAAGAGGAGGAGTAGAAGAAACAAGTTAATCAAAATAACATTTTTGTTTTAATTAATATTTTTATTCAACAATCACATTCACACAAGGACGTCCTCAATCACACTTAATCACAACAATATACACACAATATTTTAACTATACTATGAGGTGATACAAATAATTATTTATATCACATAATATTCAATATTACATCAGTCGTTATTACAAAATTGGCGAAATCACTGGTCTTTTTGCCAATCATTATACCTTTTGAATATTTTACAGGACGGAATTTCGATGTTTTTGACTTCTTTCTCGTAATACTTTGTAATGCCTATGTATTAGCCTATAATAAGTTAAATAAATAAATTAATTAAATACTTAAAAGAACACTTAAACATGACGCGTTCTTCGATGTGCGATGGGATAGGTTGCACAAAAATGACCAAATATCCTTAAAGGCAGCGACCGAATTTTTTTGCCATATTTACTTGATTCGTTTTTCGAGTTGAGTATATGGTGCTTGACTAATTTTAACATCTCAACGACATTTTAATTGGTTTTTAATACCACGCCAATTGCAATAGATGGAACTAATACAATCTTCTTTGTTTATTTTTTCACTGCTTTCGCTTGCTTGAAATTTTGGCAGCATAAAATTGTAAACGGAATAATTACTAAACTTCGTTGCATTCGAGATACAATTGACGACAGTCAATGCCAGAGCGCCCGCGTCGCCCAGCTTCATAAAACTCTTGGAAAGTACCGCCAGATTGCCTCTCTAGCACAAAACTTGCAGCGTATCTGTAAAAAAGAAGTAATTGTTATTCTTAATGCCTTTTGTTTTTGTGTAAAATATTTATAGTGTCATTTAATAAATTATGCTAAATAATAATATATAGGGTTATTTTCCAAAGAGTAGCCAAATTTTAAACTTAAGTTCAAATATATAAATAATGATATACCATTAATGCAGTTTTTGAAAATACGAGTAAATTAAGCTTCTACTTTTATTTGAAACTAGCTGTGCCCCGCGACTTCGCCCGCGTGGAATTTACTACGATTTCATGGATATCAATTTTTTTGCGTGGAACCATAATTTTGTTTTTGAGTAATGTTAGCATCTTATAAATATTGACATTAATATTTATACGATACTAATGTCACTGAATTGTTTTGGCTTCCCGGAACCCCTCCAAACACTTAAACTTTATGCTATGGTATTAAAGTGCAAATTGACTTTAAAGTATTATTACGAATCTTTTGTATGGGAATATAGAAAAGTGTTGTTTTTAGACTTTTTCAGGCAATTTTTTAAATTTTTCTCTCCGTAAGAACCATCTTCGTACTTCATGGAATGTTATAAAAAAAGAATTAGCGAAATCGGTTCAGCTGCTCTCGAGATTTGCGCTTAGAAACACATTCAGCGATTCATTTTTATACTATAGATTATCCCAAACTGAACGTGATTTATGGGCAACAACGTTTCTGCCTACTGATCGACCTTTACTAATGTGTGCGTGCGCAGTAAAATCAGTTAAAATAATGCATTACCACGCATTTTGAATTTGAAACCTTCTTCACAAGTTTGCCTATATTATTATTCTGAACCTTCTCTGCAAATTTGGCCGGTTATTGCAAAATAACCTTGTATATCAAGAAAAGAAGAAATTGTATCAAGAGATGAAAGAAAATAAACTTACGTTCCAAGCTGACAGAAGATACTTTTCGGTCCGATGTCAGAGGAACACTCGTTGTTAGCGTCGCATACATATTTCTGTAAACACTTGTCATCGTTCGTACCGAAGGACCTCACGTAGGTCTTGAGCATGGATATGCCAGCGATAGCGGCGTCACTGACTGAATCCTTGCGGCCCATGGATCGCGCAGTCAGCGATCTATGAGAGAATGAGGTCTTAAGGGCGTCCAGAAGATTCACGACGATGCTGATGAACTGTAAAGTGAAGCAAAATGTCAGTATCAAAAAAATAGGGGACACCAGAGTAATCACAGAAAAGAAGTTTACGTACAAGCGAAACTTATAGTATATCATTGTAATTTAGTAGGGGCCAATTGAAAAGGATAAGGAAGGGTGTGTGGCGTACCTCTCCAGCCTGCTTTGCCATCGAGGCGACTTGATCGGGGTCTTTTGCACCGAGCACCGTCGAAAGAACCGCAGCCAATATACCCTGAAGCAAGCGAGAAGCAACACCGTCTCCGTAACCAAATTTTACTATTTACATTCGCTATCGCTGGACGACTTCAAGGATTTTTGTAAAATCTTATGTGAATTTACCAACTATAGAACAGAAGGTATTCTCTCCTTGAGGCGATCCGACGATAAAATGATTGTAGTTATTATTTAGCTTTCTACACACTACATAATTTGGAATCAACAGCACTAAATACGGGTGAGAACATATTTTAATGGTGATATTTTACATTATTGGTGTGACTAGTTTTTTTTTTTTGGTATAATCTACTTTGTTAGTCGATCAGTAAGGTAACTTTTTTGCATCGTATACTTATGTGAACATAAGATTTTTTAAATTTATACAATAAATTATTACGTCTAATGTTGGTAATAAGTGCGTTATAATTTAATAAAAATAGGTACCTGCATAGGAGACGAAGAGTCTACTTTGTCGATCCCATCAACTGGTGCTCCACCCCCGAGAATGGCTGTTAAAATCTTTAGACCCATGGAGAGCAGGTTAGCCCAAGGGGACGACGAGACTGGTTCAGTGTCGATGCTGTCGCTTTTGTTAGGACTTGAGCCGCCTGGGTTAAATAGCATTTGCATTATCA